TATTATCAATGTTGGTTGATGTAGCAATAGTAGATACGACATTGGTTGATGAGCTTGTTAGTGATTTTGGAGTTTAAGATGTCCTGAAAGTCTTAACATTTTTGTAGACAAAGGTTCTTTCTCTTTATGTTTCTTCCCTTGTTCACTTGGCATCATGCTGGCAGAGGTTGAGGTTCCACACACTAATTGTGATGCAGCTGTTTTTAGCTTAACTGTATTAACAGTGCATTCCAGTCAGCAAAAACTGAGCAGTTAAGTCAATATTATTTAACCTCATAAGACCTGAACTCTTGCATATGTGGATGCCAGGTCCCAAGAGGTTAAAGAACTAGTATTTGATCATTTGTAAGATCATTTAGGTATTTCCCCTAATTAATGTCCACATTTTGGATTTACTTAATTTGTTTTTAATGGATGGTTATGTACCACAGCACTTTAAGGTCGCTGTAATTAAACCTTTACTTAAGAAGTCTGATCTTGATTCAGAAATTCTGGCCAACTATAGACCTACATGTATATCTAATTTAACTTTCATCTCAAAAATTCTAGAGAAAATAGTTGCAGGTCAGTTGCAGTTGGAGGTTTCTTCCTGTTAAAGGGAGTTTTTCTTTCCACTGTTGCCACTGTGATTGCTCAGGATGGGAGACTACAACGAAGCCAAGATTCAACTTGTCTGCTGGATTCCTTAGATAGAGAACTTTACTAATTGGCTTTTATGTGAATGTTCCTGTAAAGTGCCTGAGACAACTTTGTTGTGATTTGGCGCTTTATAAATAAACTGAACTGAATTGAATTTACTCCAGTCATTGATATTTTAGTGCATCCTTTTATATCGAAGTATGAAAGTAAGGGATAGAAATCCGAAGAGCTGCTCAACTACTTAAATTTGCGTCTATCTTGATCGTCATCTTGTCCAACCTCAGAAGAAGAAAAAGAAAGCGGAACAAGTAATAAGAAATCAGCTGTCAAAAAGTAGCTTCAGGAGAGGTTGCGATGAGATGACAGTACAGAGTGTGGACTGGAGGCGACACAAGGAAGTGACTGAACAGGAAGCGAACTAAAGGCGGTACTGCAGTAGGTGGCAGGAGATTTGAAGAGTGGGATGGTGTTTGGAAAAAAACAATCCAAAGAAGAATCAAAATAATAAATCAAATGATAGCAAAAGTATTAGTGAATATATAGCAAGAAGAACAAGAGATGTCTATAAAGTAATCATTAAACTTGCTCAACATGGGGCTTCATTTATCACTTGTAACTCAATACAGCTAACAAGAGCAATAAATAAAGAAAGTGGAGAAGTAAAGAGCACTAATGTTTTGAGGAACGGGACTCTGTATT